TATTCATAAAATGAACTTTTATTACCTTACCTATAAGTCATGCACAAAGGCCTGTGAAATAGGCTTTCTTAGAATAGACCCATTTTGGTTAACTCAGTAGCACAATTCAAAAGTGAAAAATTAAAGATTTCTTTTGTGTAAAGAAAGTCTTTAATGAACCCGAGGAATATCTTTCACAAGATACAAACTGGACCCTAGTTTTGCACTCAACCGGCCGTTGATTTGGCTTACTTTCACCACATACCTAGAAGTGCCAGACCAGGAAGGGACGGCAGAGGCAGGCTACCAGAAAGTCACCAAGACAACAATGTTTCAATTTGAAAGAAGTCACTGTTTATTTACTGACCAGATTACAAAAATAATCATGGTAGATACCTGAAAGGGAAAAAAAACAAACCCCATTAAAGAAACCACCTTAAGAGTTAAGAATTAACATAAATGAGGAAATTACAACAAAGTACCAATTCAGTTTCCATTTTTAAGTAGGAAAAAAACCCTTTTTCTTCCCTCCATAAATGTCCTCAAAAGGAAGGACTAACCAAAACTGTAATCATAAGACGGTTGAGTTTTTTCCCCACTAAAAATATTGATTAGAACTCAAACCCTTACCAATATATAATGGAAAAAGTTCAAGATTATCACATTTTCTCTAGTATTAAGTAAATTTCTCTCAGGATGCAGTTGCTCACCTTAGTTCATCCTCCTAATAAGCCTGTTGATCTGGTCTTCCCTGTTGCCAGCATCTCCACCTTCTACAAAGTGGGTGGTCTTCTTCTTCATTCCCCCTCGTGGAGAAGACAGTTTGAAGGGCCACAGGAAGTTGTTCGCTTCTTTGAAACGTTTCCCAACAGTATAGATCTCATGAATCAGATCCTCCATGCAAATGATGCCAAATTTACCTGAACAGTTAAGATTACTCAAGTTATTAACTTTGCTAATGGTTTAATCTTAGCAAATTTCAAGGCATTCAACAAGCAGGTGTAAGCTTTGACATAAAGAGTACAAGTAACCAAAGAGTAAAGCAGCAACGAGGGAAATACATGGCTTTATTTATAAAGATGAGGTTCAAGCCAATGAAATCATTATCTTGCATTTTTTGTAGACTTAAGCATTATAGGGAAGGTCTGTAATAGAAATGCAGGGCCACAAGATACCAGAAAAACATCAATTTCGTTTACATAAAATTTCCCCCCAACAGGCACAACCTACCCAGAGATCGAGCAATCAATGAGTTATCTGTCAGGGCAATTCGCTTCTTGTTAATTTTGCCATAACCACGCTTGTAGATCAATTCATTTACTGACTTCAGGTTCGGGTACCTGAAATACGAAAAAAAGACATAAACGGCCAAAGAACAAAGTTATCACTGTTAAAATACCTAAAATTCATTTTGCTGACAGCCCATTTTCCAAACAGAAATCAAAGGAACAGACTTACCCCCATGCGATATACGGTTCCACAATCCTCAGCATGTTAACTGAAGCCTTGTTGAGCTTAACAAACGTGCCGTTGAAGATCTGGCGAAGGCGGAGCAGCTGCAACACCTTTCGGACCTTTGGGCTCACACCATTGATACTGCGGTGGAAAAAAGATCACAACATTCATTTGACTTTGATCAGAATTGTTATTAATAAAGGACAGGAAACTAACCATTAGAATTTTGGACATCCTCTCGTGTTAAAGACCACTGGCGTTTTCCCTTTAGTTAGCTAAACTATTCTGTCATCTCTCCCAACTTGCCTCCTCCCCATGTAAACTGTCTTTCAACACATACCTGACATTTAAAACTTGCCCTGACCCTTATGCTGGTGTCCTCATTTTGTATGCATTTTTGTTATAGCCCTTATGAGGCTACATTTTAACCACTTCTGAAGTTAATCTCCAGGACACCGAACTCAAACTAGAGAATGATAGAGGCTTTGGGCACAGGGCTTGCAACTAAATCATTAAAGTAACTAACTCCTGCTTGTTCTAGCTAATCCTCCAAATTTTTATTCCAATGTTTCAGAATCAAGGTCCCCAGCAGTCATGTGAAGTTTTGCTGAGATTGCATAGCTTTCCCTTTTAAAACCAGAATGCAGTAAAAACTGAACTCACCCTCTGATCCTGATGACAAACGCCAATTTGGGTTCCGCAGGTACATAGAAGTTGCCAGCTTTTCTTGCCATCCTAGCCATTCGGATCTCAGTTCTGTACATCTGCCTATACTCCTTGTGATAGTGCTTAGCTTTTTCATAGATGAGCTTCCTCCTTGCCTTTCGAAGCTGAAAACCAATTATCATTATTCATCTGACTTTTAGCTCCCAAATACAATTAGCAATGCTAGTTTTGAAAAGAAAAAAAAAATCCCGCGTGGAAACCTTTCTTGCCAGGGTAGGCATAACACCCCGAGAGACAGACTCCTACCTTCATTCGAGAAGGCCACCTTAAGGAGCTAACCAGGCTCACTGGGACAGCAGGTGAAGTAAACAGGTCTTGCTAAGATCACCTCATTCCCATTCCTAACCCCAAGGCTGCTTCTCACATTTAAACGTCTCAAAAACTTTTGCTTACCATCTTTTGGGCAAACTTCTTTCTCAGGCGCTTGATCTTCAGCTCTGCGAAATTCCTTCGCTTTTTCTTAAGGGTTTCTGGTACATCAGGGAGCTTCTTCTTCTTCTTCTCCCTGGCAGCAGCAAACATCGGAATGAACAGTCCCACAGGCTCTCGGCGCCGCATCACTCCCATTCTGTACCGAGCACACTTTGTCGTCTAACACAACTAGTGTCACTGGCTCTAAGCACTTGCATCTCTGGCTGCCCTAGCATGCTACGCTCTAAGACGCAGGTTTTACAGAACCTCTACGCCAATAACCCTCCCCTGGAACACGGACCGCTCGACTTCGACGGCAGTCACAAACACAGCAGCAAATAAATCCCCATCTAACCCACGGTCAGTCCCGGCCTCCCAAGATAAAAACATCCACAACAAAAGCTAACAAAACGTACAGGCTGCAAGACACTGATTCCTAGACTCCTAACGCGTCTTACAGAGCTGAGGAATCTCAAAAAACCCTCAGAATCCAACTACCGCCTGGCTCGAGTCTCAAGCTCCACATGCTGCAAGCAAAGGCCTGCCGGCAGGGACGCCCGAGCCAGCCAAGCGCCAGCTAAGGACGAACCCAACTCAGAGGTTCCGCGCCCCCCTCAGAAGACGAAGGGCTGGACACCCAGCCACTTGCACATACACTCAGCTCTCACTCACACTCCTTCCCGGTCTCTCCACCACCACCTCCACCCCAAGGCCGCCGGCATCCCATCTTCGCCTGAGGCCACCACTAGGGTCACAGACCGTCACAAACGCACAGATAAGTGGACAAAGGTACAGGCTACAGTGGGGTTGGGGGAAAGTGAGACAAAGGGTCTCTGGCTTTGGAGATGGAGAAGGATTCTCGAGACGAGCGACAACTTACTCCGCGCCCTCCATGGTTCCAGTCGGAAAAAGAGGAAGTCAGCGCTTGCGCACTGTCCACTTAAAGACGGCGAGAGAGAAGCCCCATGACTCATAGGTGTCCCAGGATAAGCCGGAAAAGAACTCAGAACTGACAACTCGCCTTGCAGACGCAAACTTAAGAACTGCCTGATTCAGCCTCTTACAGTCAACTTTTTAAAAATTTATTTGGGAATAATGCATGCACTGATTAGACTCTTTAATCAAGTATGACAAGAGCAAAGAGTGCTGACACTGACTACTCGGGGTCCTAGTGCCTAGGCTGAGTTGACAGGGTAAGACTCGAATACCACCCAGTAATGTACGCAAATGACACGCCGCACGGGTGCGAACTACAAATCCCGGCATGCATCACTTCCACAGCCCGCCCGGCGGCAGGGCGACGCTTGACCGGGAGTGTAGGCTACCACCGCGGTGGTGATTCCAACCAGGGAAAATGAGAGCCTTGGCCCACGTTCCAAAGGGCTAGCTGCGACTCTAAGTCGCTCCCGAGACCTGGCTTTTGATCGCCTTCTCGGTTCTCTGCGTGGTCTCAGACCGGCACCCGTGGCCGCGCTGCCGAGGTCCTTCTCTTGGTTTCGCCAGCCTGCAGGGCTGTCTTCCGCAGCGCCTGATCGCAGGCGGCGCCGTCCTCAGACTCGCCAGGTTAACGAAAGTGGCGAGACAGGAACAAGCGAGGACCGGGCGGCGGGAGGAGGATGGCCGGAGCACTGCCGACCGCCGGGGCTAGCAGGCGGAGGCCGGGACACCCCGCGGCAGGGGGCGTGAGCCGCGAAGGGAGGTGCGACGAGGGCTGGAGGCTGCGGCCACGGCCATGTGAGAGGGGCTGCCCCGCCGCGGTTCGGCGGACGACGGGCGGGCGGGGGGCTGGGCCGGGGGCGGGGTGCGCCCGGGGGCGGGGAGGGCCGAGCGGAGGGAGGGCCGATGCCGCCGCCGGCTCTTCCCGGTCGCGGGTTATATAGCGCGGAGCGTGGAGCCCGCTCAGAGGCGGCCAGGAGCGCTCCGACTTGCAGGCGGCTCGGCGCTGCGGAGCCCGGTGCCCGAGTGACAGCCGCAGGGAGTGCAGGGCAGGGGGACCCGAGACCGCGCGGGCAGCCGCAGGCCGTGGGGCAGCGCTCGCCTGCGCCGAGCGAGGCGCCCCTTCCCGGCGCTCCCGCTGCCCCGCACCCCACTCTCCCACCCTCTCGCAACTTGGGTCAAGTTGACAACTCCCGCGGCCGCCGGCCGGCCCGAGCCGTCTCCGCCGCGCGTCCGTCCCCCGGGCTGAGAGGGAGCCGCCGCGCCGGCTCCGGGGCCGCTCGGGCGGCGGCGGCTTGGCCATGAGCGCAGCCCGCGCCGCCTAACTCGCGGCTGTCACTGCCGCTGCGGCGGGACCGGCCGGGCGCTCCGGGCCGGACGGGCGGCCGCCGGCAGGAGGCGCCGAGCCGGGCGGCTGCGGCGGCGGGCACAGCCCGGGGCCACCGCGCCGAGCCCGGGCGGGAGTGGCCCGCGCGAGCGGGGAGCGGCGCCGCGCACTCCAGCCCGGCGGGCACCTCGGGGGCGGGCGCGGGGCGCAGCCTTCTCGTCCCGGCCGCTCGGACCAGCGCCCAGGGCCGGGAGCCGGGCTGCCCGGCGCGGGGTGGGCGCGGGCGCTGGGCTCGTGCGGGGTTCGGGGCGTCGCGATGAACATCGTGGTGGAGTTCTTCGTGGTCACTTTCAAAGTGCTCTGGGCGTTCGTGCTGGCCGCGGCGCGCTGGCTCGTGCGGCCCAAGGAGAAGAGCGTGGCGGGCCAGGTGTGCCTCATCACCGGCGCCGGCAGCGGCCTGGGCCGCCTCTTCGCGCTCGAGTTCGCCCGGCGCCGGGCGCTGCTGGTGCTCTGGGACATCAACACTCAGAGCAACGAGGAGACGGCGGGCATGGTGCGCCACATCTACCGCGACCTGGAGGCGGCCGACGCCGCGGCGCTGCAAGGTAACTCGGACCTGCGCCCCAGCATTGTTGGGTCAAGCCTCGCCCCACTCCCGCGCGCTTCCCCCGCCCCGGGGCCCCGAAACCCCACTGTCATGGTCAGCCCCGCTCTGCAGGAAGAGAACACGCCCCACGCCCCCACCCTGCGGTCTCCTGCGGGTGGAATTTGCCCCCTGATAAAGGAACACGGTCACCTCCGTGTTAGGAGGGCAAAGTGTGCCAAACCCTAGTCAAAACGGAGCTCCTGTCTCTTTGGGGACAAATATCGCGTTTCCTAAGCCCTCTGAGGATAGGGAAGCAGAGGGAACTTGGTACCACTGGTTTGAATCCTAAAGCAGTGCCTCCCTCGCGTTGGCGATGGGCAACTCCAGTGCCTTTGGGAAGTTGTTCTCAAACTCGACTGATGCGCCTCTGTATGTTACTGTGGTCTGAACCGCTTAGACGAGGGCAGCATTGATGATTTCACTCTAAGTTCAGCCACGAGAAAATCATTACATTGTGTCACCAGCGATAAGTAAGTGCTTTGGTTACCTACTGGCCTCATTGAAAGATGCCCTGCCTCTTAAGGGGAAGCGCTTGAAGGATTTAAGACGCGTTGTAAATTTATTTCACTTTTTTGATAACCTCAGGAAATCTGTATTTCTGTATATTTATTAACTAACCTGAATGTGAGTTAGTCAATTTGAATCTTTTTTTTTATGGCCAAATCAGAGACCATAAGTATTGGTCCAGGAAATTGGTGATGGCTCTTGCTGTTCGACAGAATTTTTCATTTGCAGGGAAAACATTGAACTATATCGAGAAGATAATAATGGGCACTGGGCCTCCCCGGTATTGATGATTTGTCACCAAAACTATTGGCACCTGCCTTTTAGGTCACAAAATCAAAGGTCAAACATGTTACATTTTCACCAGTGGTGTGGAGGGGTAGCAAATACAGATTTTTGTGCTCCCTGCCCAAACCAAAACAATAAAGGTATTTGAAAACCAGGGAAGAGCTTTTGGTTTTTAAATTGCCATCCTTTGTGGTAAAATGGCATATTTACCTGTGAACTTGGTTTACGTGCGGGTGCTTCTTAGGTGAGTTCAGCTACTCCCGTTGGAACAAACCAGTGACCTCCACTTTTTCACGAGGACCTTTAGGCTCATTTCTTGGCTTTGAGTGAATTCAGATTATCAAGTACAGTCCTGATTTGTGAGCCTTGAGGAGACTTTCCCTTTTGAGGCTCCTCATACCGAAGACTAAGAGCTGCTTCTGACCACTGTTCCCCCCAAAAGAAGAGTGTGTAGTGTGTGTGTTTGGGAGGAAGGAGTGTTACTCTCTGGGCCGGGATCAGTTCTTTCCAGGTGTCTTTAGCTCCAGGAAGCTGATCCCATGAGGTCTGACTCGTATTGGGCTTGTCACAATTACATGATTTTCCCCTCAGCAAAGTTATCCAGTAAATTGCTGTAATTCCCAAAGACTTTGGGGGTAGGAAGGCAGCTGTAAGTTCAGTCACTGGCAGCCCTTACCATGTTAGAAATCTGAAACTCACTGTAGTATTTTTGTTTTGTGTGATCTTTGTCCTACTGATTGCCATGTGACTCACATTTTGCACCATCCCCCCCCCTTTCTCTGTCCCATTTTTTTCCCTTCATCTGGACTTCTGAGGACAGCTGGAAATGGTGAGGAAGAAATTCTCCCCCACTGTAACTTGCAGGTTTTTACCTATACCTGTGATGTGGGGAAGAGAGAGAATGTCTACCTGACGGCTGAAAGGGTCCGCAAGGAGGTTGGCGAGGTCTCAGTCCTGGTCAATAATGCCGGCGTGGTCTCTGGGCATCACCTTCTGGAATGTCCTGATGAGCTCATTGAGAGAACCATGATGGTCAATTGCCACGCACACTTCTGGGTAAATATAAACATCCTTATTTTCATTACTGGGCTCTCCTCAGTGAGACTGTGGGGAAGGAGGGAGACGTGGGGACCAGCCTGAAAGCCACCTGCACTCTCTCACCAGAGCTTCCTTCTAACTTGCCGTTCCCCCACGGTGAATGACAGTGTGTGCCGATTACTATGAAATAGTTGTTTTCTTTTATTCTCCCCAATTCAGTATTTCTTGAGACGGTAGAGGACTGAACATTTTGAACTAGTTTGAAAGATTGCCATAAAAATAACAAGAGGGAGCATAAAACCCTGGGTTTGTTTATTTTACTTTCTGTCGAGTTTGTAAAACATTGGTTCATATGAATTCCTAAAGTCAGAGTTTAGGCTTCCAAATTACTGCTCGGTCACATTTTGGAAAGTGCCAGAGATTCTGAGATCAGCATTTGTGGTCCATTGGGAGTGGTCAGGCCACCCTGGCAGTCAGTTAACATCCATGGGCTATCCACAGGGTCTGTGGCCTTGTCCTGTTAGATTTATCTGAGAACTTTCTCAGCTTAGAAGATGCCTCTCTCAGGAAGACAGAAGTCACCCTGATAGGATCACAGAGTCATCGTATGGGGGCAGGGGCATATCAGCTTCTAACCCTCAGAGCTACTGCAGCATCTGAGGATGAGAGGAGAGGGCCTTTTACTGCTCTAGGGACAAAACTAACCCTAGTTTTTCAACCGAATTTATCTTCGGTCAGGTAGGTGTGAAGCTCTCCCCTATACCTGTATCCTGTTGACACACTTTATGCTTTCCTCCCTCCATGGTATTTCCTCTTTATTTTTGCAGACAGGATCCAATAAAGAAAGGGTAAGGAGATAGGCACTGGGTTTTTTTCCATAGGCGGATTAACCTTCTAATAGGAGACAACAAAGAATTGTTTTTCCTAAATAGGTCACATTAAACCTCATTAATTTTTTAGCAACTGCTTAAAAACTTAATCTGGCTTTCGAAGTGCTTATTCAAAGGTTGCTCCTTGAACGTCAAACCACTTCTCTGATCCTGGAAGAAGCTTATTTTTGTCTTATTTTTAAACATGAACTTTATTTAACTCATTTCCAAACCTCTAGAAATGAGCATATAAATGATGTGCACTAACTCATCTATGTTTTAAATGAGTAAGAAGATTACCAAGTACAGTTTGGGGGAATTTAAGTGTGGTTGGGGGGTGTGTGTGTGTGTGTTGCGTGCAGTGGGGGTGGGGAACAGTAAAAGTCCTTGCTGCCACGGGGTCCGCAAGACCAGGTAGCAGGTGACAAAAGAGTGGATCAGGTAACTGAAGGCCAGTACAACTGAATAAACTTGACAATATGGTTTACCAAGAATCTCGTGTCTGTAGTTCTGAGTAAAACAACCAACCACTATTTGAAATAAAAGACAGACATAAATTGCAGGTGGACTGTAGTTTTCATATTTGAAGAATGGTAAGAAAGAAGCTGCCGTAGAAACTCTATTTCATTTCTGTCAACTTCTCATCCTTAAATAGATATTTTGTTTAGCTTTGAAAATGCACATCAGTTGATAAACTGTACCTCTAACATTAGGCTACTTCCTAAACTAACTTTCTGAGACAACTGAGTCAAATCTCCAACAGAAAAATTATTGTGGAACTGAATCTGTATTCCAAGGAAGAAAGTATCACCTTCCCACAGTCCTTACTTTGCCTTGAGATGTTGCTTAACTACACAATTTAGGGAGTTCTTGGAAGCCTTGACAGTAATGACGTCACTTCTTATTAAAATATGGGAGGCTCCTGAATTCTCCAGCTGTTTTTCCCCTAAGCATCTAAACTTAAGAATTTATTTTCAATATTGAGTCAGAAAATTCATTTTAGAGTTGGAATTTCTGACTTCTTGCCGAGACTTATAAACCTTTTAAGAAGTCAAGATCTAGCAACTAAAATTTAAAAGAAGACTTGCTATAATTTTCACAGTGATTTTTGGGGAGAGGAGGTGGTGGTTTAAATGGTATAAGAGCCACCTGAATTTGGCTTCCGTTCCAGTAGCCCTCTTAGGCAAAAATGTTCGTGGTAGCTGTTCAAAGATGTATTGGCGTGTGCCGTTTTCCTTCCAGAAAAAATAACCAGTGTGTCTAGGCGGGGAAGGAAGTTGCCCCATACATTTTAAAATGTAGATCAGCTGAGCAAAGACTTGTTCAGTCATTTGAACAGATCATCTCGGCCAGACTTTTAAGTAGCAGCTCATGTCTGTTTTCATAAAATAAGAAGTAGTATGTTGCTCCTGACCCAGAGTTAGAGTTGTACGCAGTGAAATAGAAAACCGTGTGGACTCCCACTGGAAGGATGTGGGTGCTCCTGCTTCCAAACCATTCCTCATGCTATTCCCCGTGCCTTAAAGGCCCTGTTCCTCCACTCTGTATACCTTTTGAGGCCTAGGTCAAATTATTAATATAACCTTTCCTCCCCACTCCAGCCCTTTTCTGGTTTTTTGCATATTAGAGCTGCAAGGATCCTTAGAGATGATCTTGTCCAGCCACTTGCTTTCTGATGAAGCTGCAGTTACATGACTTATCTAAGGCTTTTTCTCTTCTTTCTGTTAATCTCTTGCAGCATGTATTGCCCCTCTGATCCTTTGGTGCATAGTATGTGTTCTTTGGTGTAACTTTTTACACATTGTGCTTTGAAATCCCCAAGTAGATAGCAAGCTGTCTGAAGGCAGCTTGTTATATACATCTGTTTATTTTCCCTGCCTGGAACAGAGCTCTACGCCTCAGCCACTCAATAAATGTTTGATAATACAGGCTAGGCTTCTGCTTAAATATTTAGGAGATAACCTATTCAGAGAATGCTCACATGGGTCTGTCTTCTGGAGTTTCAGAAGGTAGGCATTGTGTTGGACTAATTCGAGCTGTGTAAGATTGATGGGATTCCAAAATGGGTCTGGCTCACATTCATTATTGTTTGTATGTCCTTTTGTTTTCCTACACAACTTTTCCATTCTCCCAGCCCCACCTGTATGCTCAGTTTTACTATGGCATATTAATTCTGCTCATTGGTGCAAGGCCAGCAGCTTTGAGAAGGCTTGTATTGATATGCCAGTTTGAATCAAGCTTGAAATTGCATGTTTGGCCACCATTCGTATTTCCCAATGACCAGGCCTCAAGGAGAGGATTCCTATTGCAATTCCTTCCTTGGCTTCCTAATCTCATGCTATTTCCTTACACGTTGGAAGTTTTTACAATACTTGGCGTTATTCTGCACAGCCCTCCAGTCTGCTGTGACACTTCATCTTTCAGCATTCTTCTACCACCAGCAGCTCTCCTAGGAACCTCCTCTTGGTCACCAGTCAAGAAGTGATAGATTTGGGGTAAGTTCTAGTCAGGATAATTTGTCGTGCAACGTTCGCAGTTAGGACAATACAGTGCTCTTGAACTTTGGCATAATCATAAAACCATTCACTTAGGCTCTGTCTGTATCTCAGTGAGATGTAAAAGCTTGAAAATACCTCTCTAGGCTCCTGTGAAATATGGAAAGTTGGCCTCCATACAGGAAATGCAAACCCCTGTTTTCCCCAAAATATTAATATTGCTTCACTTGTTTTTTAAGAGGAGTGGAATCTTAGCTTGCCATTCCTAAAACACAAAGTTTATCTGTAGATCCTTTTTTACCAAAGAGCTGAATTTGGCCCTTACATGTGAGCGGCAGATTGATCCCTGATTAACCAAAAGGGGGAAGCAAAAGCATTGAACTCCAGGCCTTTTGTGTTCTGAAGGAATTCTGCATGGTAAAGGACTGAATCTGTCGAATAGCTAGTCAGTAATTTACTTCTATTGATACGGTAGTCAGACAAGATAATTGGTAGTTAATTAATAGACCACTTAACTTAAAAGGTTTCACAGTTTTAAAATACTAATTACTGAATTAGGCATTTATCTATATCTAAATGTCTAAAGTCTATTTAGTTAAAATCCATCCAGGAAAAGTAAAAGCCCACCAGCTAGATCTGAGTAATGTAGCACTTACAGACATTAGTGCTGTGGTTGTGCCTAATATCTCATGAAGGGTCTCTAATCATTAATGTTTAAGTTCTTATGTGATTTACTAGTTTTTCATTTCAAATACTCTGTTCTCCGGTTAGAGAAACCTAGTTTTGTTCAAGGCCTCTTAGATTTAGAATTTTTTAAAAAAATAATAAAAATGAAAATCTCTGAAGTATTCATATAAAACTATTTTGGCCAATACTTCCTCCTCCAAACCATGATATTAAGAATTGTTAGACTAAATATTTTATAGGGTATTGTTTTTCCCGTTTTTAAAGACAGCTACTGAAAACTTGGAATTCGTGGCCTATTTTTACATCTGTCCTCGATCTGCTTTCTGTTTTAAATAATATGCATAAAAATCAAATGTTTCAGCATTAGAAATAAAGACTTTATGTCTTGAACTGAACTGTAAATTAATATGGGGTAAGATATTTTATCTTATTGATTCTTGTAGTCACAGTTAAAAACTGAGTAAAACGTCTCTTTAGATGGCAACTGCTTGGCCCCCTGGGACTGTGTACCTAGCAGGGTCATTGCAGAGGCTTCTTTCCTAACACAAGATAAGAGCACGTGTTCCTTAAACTTTGAGTTTCTATATTTGATGTATTACATGCTGGGCCCAAATCTGTTCCTACTCGAAATCCACATCTGTGACATGATAAAATGTCACTTTACATAATTGATATGAGCAGGGAACCGTCCTATAAAAATCTTCCCGACATCTTTGATGTGTGTTCGAATCTGTGTCTGGTTATCTCAGTTGCTTAGCAAATATTGCTCAGTAACCGATGTCGTCCTAAAAACTAGCAGTGTTCCCGTCATTGCCAAGTCCAGTATGCGGCTTACTCTCTCTGCAGAATGTGACCCTGTTGACCAGCTCTTTGAAACCCCAGTGCTTTAGCTTCCTTTATAAGCCCGCTTTCTCCTGCGTCTCTTCCTGTCTTTGCCGTCCTCTTAGCCTCTCTGCCTTCAAAATGT